CGATAGCCCTCAGCTCTCCAGTGGACCCCCAGCCCCCCAGCCACCGACTCCACACGGTCTGGGCTCTGCTTAGGGCTCTGACACTCCGAATCTCGCCTGTCAATCAAAGGCTGCCTTCTACAATCTACTTGAATCAAGACTAGACAGAGCAAATGAAACACGTGATGAAGTAAAAGAGCTGACCTGACGGTTCCAAAGTGCAGCCGCGGAAGAGAACGTGTGACAAATGAAATATACAAAGACTTAGGAGGTTGAAAACCGAAGCTGAAAGCACTAAAGGTAAAAATTCCAAGAGTCAAATCCCAAGGTTGAAGCAGTTTTTATAGGCAAAATATTAACGAACGCAGGAAGCCGCAAAGTACGATGGAAAGAATGCACACAGCCACTGTACCAAAAATCACTGGTCAGCATCCAGTCATTTTAGCAAGCAGCATATGATCAGGGACGATCGAAGGAAAAAGTCTAAGCTACATTGAAGGCATTGGGGGGGAAACAACAACAACAACAACGCTCCAAGAGGTGGCAAGATTCCAATGGAGAGGTTTTAAAAAATGGATGCAAGGCCAGACGTGTTTGTGTTATAGGGGCCTTAGCTGAAAGCAGAAAATACCAAAAAGATGTTGATCAGTATTTTACTGACAAAGTAAAGGCCTTTAACTGTGTGGATTATAGCAAATTATGGCTGACACTGGGAAGAATAGGAATTCCAGAACACTTCACTGTGATCCCATGAAGTCTGAACATGAGCGAAAGGCAGCATAGAGCGAAACATAGAGCATAGAACATAGAGCGAAAGTTCAGGGATACTTAGGGTTTCAAGTCAAAAAGAGCCTGTGTCAGAGAGCGTATCATTTCACCATGCTTATTCCATCTGTCTGCTGGACAATTTGTCCCAGAAGCTGGGCGGTACAAAGAACACAGCATTGGGATTGGAGACAGGTTCACTGTGATACACCGATGACACAGCTTTGCTTGCTGAGAACAAAGGGGCTGTGGAGCACTGATTGATGACGACTGGCACCTACAACCTGAATCGAAACATGGAGAAAACGAACATCCTCACAACGGGACCCATAAGCACTGTGATGATACACGGGGAAAAGAATGACGTTGTCAAGGACTTCCTTTCACTTGTAAGGATGCACAACCAACACGCATGGAAATAGCAGTTAGGAAGCAAATGATGTATGGCACTGGGTAAAGCGGCTGCAAAAACAAGCCTCTTTAAAGTGTTTAGAAGCCATGATGCTACCCCGAGGACTAAGATTGGCATGCCTCAAACCATGACACTTTCACAGACCTCATATACTTGTGAAGGCTGAACACAGAGAAGAATGCAAAAGAATTCATACGTTGACAGGACGGACACTTCCAGGAGGGACATAGGAGAGGGGGAGGTGGGGGGAAAGGTAGTGGTGTTAACAAACCCAGGGACAAGGGAACAACAAGTGATGCAAATCGGTGGTGAGGAGGGTATGAGAGGCCTGGTAGGGCATGGTCAAGGGTAATGTAACCAAGAGGGATTGCTGAAACCCAGGTGGGGACCAAGCATGATGGTGGGACAGGAGAAAAGTCAAAGGAAATAGAGGAAAGAGCTGGGAAGCAAAGGGCATTTATAAAGGTCTAGATAAAGGCATGCACATATGCAAATATATTTATATATGAGGATGGGGAAACAGATCTATGTGCATATATTTATAGGTTTAGTATTAAGGTAGCAGAAGGACATTGGGCCTCCACTCAAGTACTCCCTCAATGCAAGAATACTTTCTTCTATTAAATTGGCATTCTGTGATGCTCACCTTCCCGACACAACCGCTGAAGACAAATAAGCAAATGTGGTGAAGAAAGCTGATGGTGCCTGGCTATAAAAAGATACAGCGTCTGGGTCTTAAAGGCTTGAAGGTAAACAAGCAGCCATCAAGCTCAGAAGCAACAAAGCCTACATGGAAGAAGCACACCAGCCTGTGTGATCACGAGGTGCCGAAGGGATCAGTTATCAGGCATCAAAGAACAAAAAATCATATTAGTGCTCACCTCCATGATACACTCGCTGAAGACAAATGGGTGCATAAGCAAATGTGGCGAAGAAAGCTGATGGGGCCCAACTATCAAAAGATATAGCATCTGGGGTCTGAAAGACTTGAAGGTAAATAAGCGGCCATCTAGCGCAGAAGTAACAAAGCCCACATGGAAGAAGCACACCAGCCTATGCGATCACGAGGTGTCGAAGGGATCAGGTATCAGGCATCATCAGAGTAAAAAATCTTATAATAGTGAATGATATGCAGGGGGAGTGCAGGGTGGAGACCCAAAGCCCATTTGTAGGCCACTGGACATCCCCTTATAGAAGGGTATTGGGGAGGAGACGAGCCAGTCAGAGTGTGATGTAACAATGATGAAAAATACAACTTTCCTCTAATTCCTAAATGCTTCCTACCCCCACCCCCACCCCGCACTATCATGATCCCGATTCTACCTTGCAAGTCTGGTTAGACCAGAGGATGTACACTGGTACAGATAGGAACCGCAGACACAGGGAATCCAGGGCGGATGATCCCTTCAGGACCAGTGGTGTGGGTGGCGATACTGGGAGGGTAGAGGGTGAGTAAAGGGAGGTGTGGACAGGGCAAGATACAACAAAATAATAATTTGTAAATTATCGGGGGTTCGTGAGGGAGGGGAGAAAATGAGGAGCTGATGCCAGGGGCTCAGGTGGAGAGTGAATGTTGTGGGAGTGATGAGGGCAATGAATGTATGGGTGTGCTTTGCACAACTGATGTGTGCATGGATTTTGATGGGAGTTGTATGAGCCCCTAATAAAATGATTGGAAAAAAAAAAAGAATTCATACGTTGAGTTGGGGATTTGGGGCAGAATATGGACCGTGTTGTGGACTGCCAGAAGAACCCAAAGAAAAGTGTCTTGGAAGAAGTCCACCCAGCATATTCCTTTGAAGAGAAGTTGGGGAGACTTTGGGTCATGTACTTGGGACATGCTATCAGGAGGGACCAGTCCCTGGGGAAGGAGAACTCTCTCACTACCATGGAGTCAGTGCTGACCCATAGCGGCCCTCCAGGGCAGGGTGGGAATAGAAAGCCCCATCTCTCCCCAGGAGCGGCTGGTGGTTTCCAACTGGTGACCTTGAAGATCACAGGCCGACGCGTAACTGCTACGCCACCAGGCTCCTTGGAGGGATACAGCCTGGTAAGACAGAGGATCCGCGGAAACAGTGGGAGTAAAAAGATTCTCAATGAGATGTTTTTATATCAGGCTCAAACATGGGCCATGATTGTGAGGATGGCGAGTGTTTTGTTCGGTTATACACAGGACTGCTATGAGTCAGAACCTGTGTACAACAACCACTTCTTCCCTAGGTTCAAACTAGCTGGTTTTGGCTCCTTTCTTTCTTTTGTGAATCACTTTATTGGGGGTTCTTACAGCTCTTATCACCATCCATCCATC